AGAATAACTGCAAAAGAGGCGCACTTGAGGGATGTGGAATGCAGTGCGCACAGAGCACACGAAACCAACCAGCGTGAACACCCCAGCTGTGGCAACTTCGAAGGACTGGCGATTGGCTGCTCCGAGAAACTCGAGCATCAATAGTAGACCAAACTGGTAAAGAGACCAAAGCAGTTTGTGAGATGCATCGTTGTCATTGAAGCGAGCTGCGTATCGCATACTTGCCTGAAGAACTAAATAGAAAATCATGAAATACACGAAGAACTGCTCCATGTCGCGATTCTGACCAACGAGTGCGTTTAACTGGAAAATCCGCCACCGTGTCTTCAGCACGTAGTGGAGTGCCCGAAGGCTGATGCAGCCCTGAGAAGTTCAGAGCTGGAAGGTTTCAAGCATTCTTGCAAGCGTCTCGTACAAGCTTTCACGCGCTTTAGACTGCTCCGCTGTCCAGGTTTCGGACGCCAAACATTGTCCAATACGTGTGCCTCGAAGCTTTCCAGCAGCTCCGTCCCAGAGCTTCCAAAACTCCTTCGAATAACCTTCAGAAACTTGTCGCCTCGCTATCCGGGTTCTGGACACCACACACACCCGATCACTCTCTGAGAATTCCACGGGGGGTCCGGGAATCCCCAGGATTTCCAAGAATTCCCCGGGATTTCTGGGGATTCCCCCGACGTGTCGCGCGCGTCCTCGGGTAGCGCAGCCGACCAAACATGGGCCCAAAGAGCGCCCAAGAGGGCCGACGATGCCTCCGAGAAGGCCCAAGAGTGCCCCAAGATGCCCAAGATGGCTCCAAGACAGCTCACGAGGCCCCCTAACGGGCACCAAGAACGCTCCAAGAGAACCCCCTAAGAGGGTCCCAAGATGCAAAAATCACTGTGTTCCCTGAAGTGTTTGAATGATGTTGGCGTTCTCGTCTTTTGGGCTTGACGACGCTCCAAGACGGCCCAAGAGGCCCCCAAAGATCGCCCCAAGACAGCCGAAGAGTTCGCGAGAGGTCCCCAAAACGGCCCACAAGGGCCCCCAAGACAGCCCAAGAGGTCTCCAAGACGGCCCAAGAGGCCTCCAAGACGGCTCCAAGAATGGGCCCAGACGGGGAACCTGAATTGACATTTCAAGCCCTCGGCCCCGAGAGGTTCCCAGAAGGCCCCAAAGAAGCCCCCAAGAGCTCTCCAGCAAGCCCCATGAGTCCCCCAGCAAGCCCCCCAGGAGAGGCCCACAAACTGCCCCCCGGAGGCTCCCGAGAGCGCTCCGACGAGACCCCACGAAGCATCTCTGAGGACTCTGACACCCAACCCACAGGCCAGCAATGGTGGAGGGATGGGTCGAAGGCCCTTAGATACAAACTGCCAGCATAATTGTGAAAAAATGTTCGTGGGATGTGACGGACTGACGCAATGTGAACCGAGGCCGACGCCACTGCCAACCATGACTGGCGCCGGTCTCTGCCGTTACAACTTGGATGGAAACTTTGAGTGCGAACACAGCAAGCGTTGTAAAAATGATGAATGCCAGCGTTGCAGGTAGGCTGAAACCAACTATCCAAGGAAGCCAGAAACCAAACGATACGACAAACGATAGCCAGGTCTGCCACCGCTCCAAGCCAGAAAATCGACGACGGTGCAGGATAGATTCGAAGGCAATCATTAACCATGTGAGCGATATGCCACCACAAAGTAGCGGCTGCGTAAAGGTCACGCTTTCAGCTTTGACTGCGGCAACGAACCCTACACCACTCAATGCAATACCTATCATACTGAGCGGGAATGTGTGTACGAAGGCAACTGCTTTATATCTGGAGATTCGGATAGCATGGCACTCCTGGACATCAGGGCCGTCCTGCTCATCGCCAAAGACTTCGACATCGAATATAACAAGTTTCAACATCAGCGCATATACACTTGCGCACACTACTGCAACGGCAGGAGGACTCGTCAAGTCTCCTGCAAAGTCAACTCCACACAACCCAATAGGAAAAAGGAACGAACAGACTATGATCATCATATGGAAGCCTCTGTAGCGGCTCACCAGATGCTCAATGCACACAGGTATATCCCAACGTCGCTGGAGTTCCCGAGTCCGAGTGGCGGCAACAAATTCGCCAGCCCCACGGGCCAAACGCGTAAGAGGTTTCTATGTACTACTTCGCGCGCACGTAGCGGCACCTGGGGGTCTCCGGACGAGGAGTATTGTCGGACCCAGGCCAGAAGAACATCCTTCAAGAACATGAGACCCTCCGTCGGCCAAAACAAGCAGAACATCCAAGGATACCCTCCCCAGTGCGCACAAGAACATACGACAACCACGTAGAACATGAAGGTAAGAACCGACCTCGATCTTTCACCTCGGTCCGACTGTACCCCGGGACACTTCCAGAGGACTCTTGGACGACCCCCAGACGACTCGGTTGAGAGCCAGTTCTAGTCCTGGGCTTGGCCGTCCAGGACGAGAGAGCGCTCCGGGAGCGCCTCACGGGGACTGCAGGAGAGCCCAAGAGGGTCCGACGCAGTCCAAGAACGCTCCGAGGCGTCCAAGATGATTCCCTGACGGTCCAAGAGGCCTAGAAAAAGCATCAAGAGCGCCTCAAGAGGACCCCAAGAGGGCCAAGAGGGGCAGAATTCGTGGATGTTTTCTGAAGGATTTCAACGTTCTCGCCATTTTCGGTGTCCAACGCTCCAAGGCTGCCCAAGGGGTCCCCTAAGAGAGCCCCAAGGCGGCCCAAAAGGCCCCCAAGAGGGCCCCAAGAAGGCACAAAAGGACCCCCAAGAGGGGGAAGACGAAGTGAAATTTCGAGCCCTTGCCCAACAGGCGGCCTCCGAGACTGCCAGAGAAAGCCCCAAAAGGGCCCCTGGTGGCACAGGTGCTAAAGATGCCACAAGATGGGTCGGCGGAATGCGCGAAGCCATTCAATAGAGCTACAGAAAGAGGTTCAAGACACACGTGTGCCATCAGCAGCAGCCTTTCCCATTCCATGGCCGAATCAGAGCCAACCGATAGCAAGGCAAAGGCAATTGCAGCAAGTGAACACATGCCACAGAAATATCCAGCAAATACGCGAGTGCGAGGAAGGCACCATGCCAAGCGAAAGTATGACAGAGCAAACAAGAAATTCGCTTGCCCTACCAGCCAGAGGCGTGCTAAAATCTCAAGTGAGAGCTCCAGAGTATTTCTAGTGCGGGGTGGTCCCTGGGGGGTCCTGGACACAAAGTGCCTTGAGAGATCCTGGATCAAACATCTGTGTTATTCTGCTTCTCGGCGTGGCCTTCAAAGCTCACACGGGCGCTCCAAGTCAGCAGGGCTCCAGCAATCGGCCTAAGAAAAATGCCAAGACGATCCGATTGCACTCGAAGACGGGCGAACGTGGCCTCAGGCGGGCTTCAGAGGGTCCAATGGCGCTCCAAGAGAGCCCGATGTCGCCTCGAGCAGCCCAAGAGGACTCCAAGAGCGCCCCAAGAGGACACCCGAGAAGGCCCCAAGAGGGCCAAAAATATGGATGTTCAGGCGTTTCAGCTACATATTCTCAAGTTCTTGCCTTTTCCCAGACGGCTCAAGTCGGCCCAGAAGGCCTTCGAGATGGCTCCAAGACAGCGCCAGAAGGCTCTAAACTGATCGCCCCAAGTCAGCCCAAGAGGCCCCCTGGACGGCCATGGACGGCCACGGGACGGCCCAAGAGGACCCCAAGGCGGCCCAAAAGGACTCCCAAGAGGGCTCCAGAAACCCCCAACAGGGCCCCGTGAGGGGGAATCCGAACTGACATGCCGAGCCTTCCTCGAAATGCGGCTCCCCAGACCAGCAGCAGGCTCTCAAGAGGCCCCCCAGAAACCCCCAGAGACCCAAAAGACTGCCCCAAAAGGCATCAGGATGTCTCGGCACTGCCACCACCACGGCTCCGAGAAGCTTCCCGGGAGACACCAAGAAGCCTCTTGAGGCGTCTTGCCCATGACTCTGTCTGGCCCCAAGAGTGCCCGAAGAAACGATCGAGATGCCTCCTCCTCTTCCTCCTCCTCCTCCTGCTCATCCTCTTCCCCCCCTTTTTCGCTCGCCACACGCACACCACCAGGCAGCAACAATGATGCAACATGAGCCGGCGGAGGGAGCGAAGCGATTGAATAAAGGAAGCAAGTGCTGCCTGCGAAGCCACGCAAGCTGCCATCCAAGAATGCAACTTGTGCAAACATGCCAAACAGAAAGCCCACCCATAGAACTGAGTGGAATGCATCTGTGTCGTTGAACCTGGTTGAGTACATGACACTCGTAGACATTGGGCCCCAGAAACAAAAGAAATGCAAAACGTACCATTCAACATCGTGGTTTTTCAGGATGGTGTCCCGCATGGCAGCTATGCCCATTGTGACGATCACTCCCCACATACCTTCCTCTCGCGTCACACGGCCAAGCAATGGGCAATCGCCAGTTACCTTCAGCTTCTCCTCTGCAGCTTCTTGCCAATCTCTGCGAAGCCGAGGTGATCCACACCAACGCCGAGACTTGCTCACGCATGACTCTCCTTCAGCGTCATTCGAAGTCAGAGCGGTGGACAAACTCATGACCTCAAGCGATGGCGTTCACAACTGACAAACGTCAAGGCATGTTCAGCGCATACAGTTTCCAGGTTGTAAACGATCTGGAGCCAGCATTGCCAACGATAATCCAAAGCACGTGAGCCAGGCAGGTTACTGAATATCTATATATATATATATGAGAGAGAGAATGTACCCAATGTGAATGTAGCATTGAAGTCATGCATGCGATATGTTGGATACAGCGGCGTATACGATATCCAGCTTTCGACTTCAAGGCCATCGTTTACTGATAGTTCACAGTTGGTGTTGGAGGTCTGTGCTGATTTGACATCAGCCTGAACGAAGGGATTCTACAAGGCCTGTCGGGGTACATACTGAATGGTTAATGACGCTTTTCGTGACCGGGCATCGACGGCTTGCTCACATGGCCACATCGGTATTTTTGCTTGTTTAAGATATGCGTATAGCTGTATACATATAGAGGAAGAAACATAAAGAGACAAGAAACAACAACAAAAAACGTAAAACGAAAAAACAAAACAAACTACTGACGATGACGTCTGCAGGACCCCTTTCTGAAGGCAGCCTCGAGAAGGGCCACACGAGGCCCCGAAGAGGGTCCCAAAAGCCCAAGTCTGCCGAGGAGGAGGAAGAGGAAGGGAAGGAGGAAGGGGAAGAAAAGGATAGGAGGGTAGTGAAGCAGGTGAAGAGGAGGCACGAAGAGGGGGAGGCGAAGGCTCGAGGGGAGGAGAAGGGGAAGAGGCGAGGGAGGACGAGGAGCAAGGGGGAAAGCACGGGCTGGGGAAGGTGGGGGGAGGCGAGCCGCTCCCTTGGCCACGAGGCGAACCTGTGTCTTTGTCTCACATTTGCGAGTGGGCGCTCTGCGAGTCGTGGAGCGCGCTCGGCGATCCCCGGGCGTTCCCCTCGCCTCTCTGGGCTGCCACGAGGCACGCGGCTCTTGGCGGCAGCCGGGGCCGGGCCGCGCGCGCCCCCGCGCCCCGGGCGGGGGCGCCTCGTCCAAGTGCCTGCGAGAGTCGGCCACGAGCTGGGCGAGCTCCTCGGGCATCCCAAAGGGGAGGCGGGGAGGAGGGACGAGGAGGAGCAGGGGGAGGAGGAGGAAGAAGAGGAGGAAGGAGGCGACCAGGAAGGAGGATGTTGAGATGGACACTGTCTCCCTGGCCCCCCGAGCTGCCCCTCTCACGCCGACGCCGATTCGACCGCAACCGTTTCGGTTTCAGAGCTCTTGAGTCTCGGGCAGAAAGGACTTTCAGCTTTCTCTCGACGGCGGCAGCCGTCAGTTGATGGTAAGCGGAGCGGACTGGTTCGCCACGGTCTGCTCCCGCCTCCGCGGCTCGCGGGGGACTGCCTGGCGCGCCCCGTGGCTGGGGCTGCTGGCCTGGCCTGCAGGGAGCGGGCTCGGCACCACGGCGCAGGTTGTGGCGGACCTGCACAAGCTGGACCACCAGGGCGGAGTCTGGCACCAGCGGCGCTGCAGCATCGCGTCCGCCATCATCACGAGCTCGATCGTTGCTGCCCTGGCAACCAGCAGCACCACGAGCAGCACTACGAGCAGCACCACTGCAACTCCAAGAGGTGTCATGGCGCGAGCCTCGCGCCTCACCTTCGAGAAGGACATCCCGCTCTACGACGGCGACCCAGCGCTGTTCGAGGAGTATCAGGAGCGGGCTAAAGACGCCTTCTACGGTCGCATGGGCGACGAAAAGCAGATCGCGACGCCAGTCAACCTCAGGAATGGTCTCTCGGGCACGGCCTACGACGCCGTGAGGTCGCTGAAGCACGACGACTTGCTCACGTACGAGGAGGAGACCCTCGAGAGCGGTGGCAAGGGCGGCGGCACGATCACTCGCAGGAAGGCGACCACCGAGGGCCTGGAGATGCTACTGCGTGTGCTCGGCGAGTCGGTCTTGAAGGAGAGACCTGTTCGCGCGGCAGAGCTCTTCGACGGCGCGCTTTACGACAAATCCGTGTGGAGAGGCTCTGGCGAGAGCATGCAGGAGTACATCACGAGGCGGACCAAGGCGTTCGACGATCTCAAGAAGGTCTCGCAGGAGACCAGCATCTCGGACGACCTCCAGGCCTACCTGCTGCTGAAGTTCAGCGGGCTCGACAAGTCGGACCACGCTAGCATCATCAGCAGCGCGGGCAACAAGTACGACAAGGAGGCGTTCGCCAAGGCGCTGCGCATGCAGCACTCGGGTATCCACGAGCGGGAGCGGAACTACCGGAAGGATGGCAAGCAGGAAGCGCACCGCTCGGACCCGAAGCCGCAGAGGTTCCAGCAGGGCCAGTACAGGCAGCGGCAGGCGTGGCAGGCCGAGCGTGACGACGAGCACGAGCACTACGACGACAACGACTACCAGCTCGACAACTCCTACGACGACCAGCCCCTGGAAGAAGAGGTTTACCTGGGCGAGGAGGAGGCCACTCTCGAGGAGATCGATGAGATGGACCCGGAGGCGGCGGAGAGCTTCGCGGCGATCGTCCAGAACAAGCAGAGGTTCCAGGCGCGCAGCGGCGGTCGCGGGAAGGGAGGTCGAGGACGCAAGGGCGGAGGTCGCGGCGAAGGCAGTTCGAGCTCGAGGGATCGAGCCAGAGGTGGAAGTGCTCCCGGTGACAGCGGTGAGCGGCGTGCCAGGATCGAGAAATTGAAGCGGACTACGAGGTGCGCCAGCTGCGGGCAGATCGGACATTGGCACGGGGACCCGGGCTGCCCGAAGTCATCGAGATCGGCGGCACCACCATCGGACAGGCCGAAGAACAGCTACTTCAGCTTCAGCGACTTCAAGGGCGACGGCTCCAAGACCGGCGAGGTCAGGATCGCGGAGGTGTTCGTAGCGTTGGCGGCTTCGCCCTCACCTACTGGGCTCGGCGCCCGCCCTAAGCCCAAGGCAAGGTCACGCGGCAACCCTCAAGGAGGTAAGGAAGGTGACGGGACCCTCAAGGCCAGCGCGGACGACGGAGCTGCGGGACTCCCGAGGAGGCGAGGCCAGTCACTTCCAGTCATGGCGGAGCCCTGCGAGCACGCGCTGGCGGCGGACCCTAGACTGTTCAAGGGCGCGAACGGGACGCACAGGTACCTCACTTGCCACTGGTGCCTGCCCAACCGGGTCGGCATCCACGTGGCCAAGGCCCACAGGTCTAGTGGCGAGGAGCTCTGGAAGTACCTCATGGCCTCCCTACTGTTCACCCCGAAGGGCAGGGCCATCTACTCGCGCACGACCCCTGCGAAGACGAAGCCAACCGAGAGAGTCTTCAAGGTGTACCAGAGCATCCCTAAGTCCAAGGAGCTGGCGCCTGAGCTGATGACCAAGCGCGCGATGGAGATGAAGGTTCCGTCTGACGACGAGGAGCTTGAGCGGATCCCGAGGGTCGAGGACTACCCGCACGAGCTGGACAGGCCTGAGGGGGAGGACAGCGTGTACGTGGCGTACCCCGCGGACTTCGACCAGGACGTCAAGGGCCTAGATACCGAGCAGGTACCACTCGGCGGTGAGAAGATCATGGCCGGCAAGTACAGGGGCTACACGTTCTCCGAGTTCGTGGACGGCGGTGACGCTGCACGCGCGTATGGCAACGCTCTCATCAGGCACGCGATGTCCAGCGACCTGACTCGGCTCACCGTCGACCAGTACCGCTTAGCCTGGTTCCTTATCTACCTGATGGCGCTGGGCGAGTGGGACCCCCCTCTCAGCATGAGGACGGGTCGTTCCAAGTGCTGATGGTCAACGGCTCCAAGGACGACGTCGAGGTCTACGGCTCCAGTTCCAGGGACCCGCCTGGCACCGCCGTGCTTGACACAGCCTGCCAGATGACCATGCACGGCACGCCCTGGAGGATCAGGTACGAGAAGGAGCTACTCGACCGGAAGCTCAAGCCGATTCCCAGGTCCCAGCAGACCAAGTTCCGAGGGGTCGGCGGCGATGCGTACAGCGATACAGTCTACAACATGCCGGCCGGCATCGCTAACAACCCGTTCGCGATCGAGTCGGCGGAGCTCGATCAGGACGCCCCCCTGCTAATCTCCAAGGACACCCAGTCGAAGCTAGGGACGGTGATCGACGTGGCGAACGCGGTCGCCGACTTCACGGAGATCGGCGCCTACAACGTCCCCCTATTCAAGACCAGCGGCGGCCACCTGGGCGTCAGCTTGCTGGACTTCCCGGATCCCGAGGTCTTCGGCCCCGAGTTCCAGACCTACATCGCCGAGGACGGGCTCGGCGGCGGCTTCGACATGGTGGAGTACCCGGAGGCGGAGATCGCGATCCCGACCGCGGAGGTTATGGCGACGGAGACGGTCTCCGAGAACCCCAACGAGATCGACTGGGACGGCGACAGGTCCATCAGGATGGCCAGCTCCAGGCGTGCTAAGAAGATGAAGGCCATGCATGACGACTTGTACACCATCGACTCCAGGACGCTCGACATCATGACGGGCAATATCGACAGGAAGCGGAGGCTACCTAGGGGCAAGACCTTGCTGAAGCAGCTCTTCTGCGGCCAGTTCGGCCTCACCCTACTCGCCTCCACCATCTTCGGCTACAACTGCGGCCAGCAACTGGATATCGAAGACGGCTGGGACGGCGCTACCAGGAAGGGACGCCAAGTGGCACGGAGGCAATTGCTGGAGGAGGACCCCTACGTGACGGTCATCACCATGC